AGTTTGACATCTTTGATACAAGTAACGAGTTCACTTCCAAGTGAACAACCCGATAGTCTTCTTCTTATCATAGCATACCAACCAGCGAACACCCAGCCAAGTTTAGTTAGCCAGTTTGAGTATTCGTTACACCCCCCTAGTAGGCTCCTAACCCTAACCCGACTATTTCTAATAAATTCTACCCTGCCCTACGAGATAGCTAATCTAGTATAATCCTCTTATCTCGATAGAGATTTATTCCTTATATCTCGAATCTTAGACTTTATTTACTTATAATATTTTTCTGTAATATTACTAAGTAAACTATACTTATTTAAAACGATATTTAGTATTAATATTATTCGGGTAAAACTCTTAGATTTATACTATATTAATTAATAATGTTATATAAAACAAAACTAGATTAACTTAGTTATATTTTAGTATTATATTTCTCTAACTTCTTTTTGTGACGACACGCACAGCTGATGGACCGCGCAAGAGTGCACGACTACGTCAGGTATCACGAGTGGTGAGATTGACACTGTGGAACTGTCTATACGAAGATTATAAGCTGAGGAGAGAAGAGAAGAAAGGACAGAAGCTCAGGAGCTGGAGGCTCTTATATACAGGAGGTGTGCCAAGCGCACCTGCTTAGCCGAGTTCCAGCCAGGGACTGATCTGGAGCATGGTTGCCGCAGGGTTCTAGCCAGGGGCTGGTCTATAGCGTGGTGGCGGTCAGAACCGTCACACTTTTACTATTATTTATTATTTTATTAATTTTTAATATATATTTATAGTTCGAGAAAGAATTATCGAATAAGTAGAAGAGCTATTACTATATAATAAGCTAAGTTATTATTACTTTATAAGTCTTATATATAGGTATAAAAAGAATAGATTTAATAAATTAGATTTAAGGAATTAAAAGAATAGTTAAATAATCTATTATTTAAATAAGTTAGTATATATACTATAAAATATACTTATTTTTCTATAAGATATAAGGAAATTAACTACTTTCTAATCTATTATAATCCTTTTATCTTAATATAAATTTATTTCTTATTTCTTAAATTTTTAAAAAAGACTCTAGAATCCTTAGTATAAGTAAGAACGTTAAACTCTAACTACTTACTATATTAGATAAAGCGTATAACTACTTACTACTAGGGTTAGACTATTTAATTCCAAATAATCTAATTATAATTAATTTTTATTTAATTTATAATAAGTAAAGATTTAGATTTGTGACGGTTCTAACCGTCACCACCATTCGGATCACGTGGTCTCGCTTAGCGACCCACACCAAGTATTTAGATCGAAGCTCTCTCGAGCTCTCCTCTTCTCCTCAGCTTAGAATCTTTGTTTAATTGACAGTTCTACGATTCCACAACCTACACCGTGGGTCTTGCGTACGTGTCGTCACATTATTCTAAGCTCTCTCACACTGCCTGGGAAGGCATACTGAATATCCCTTCCTCTCTATCCGTCGCGGTAGAAGG